CGGGGAGGCGCAGCGGCCCCGGGAACCCGGATCCTTCTGAGACGCTTAGTTGGCCCCGCGGAGCCGGCGGAGCAGGTATGCTGCAGGGGCCGCCCTTAGTCCTTGCCTGGAGCCGCCACAGGGCTTCAGGAACCGGGCAGGGTGGGGGAAAGGGATGGAGTCTCTGCCTGGGGCGGCGGGGGCGGCCCAGAAAAGGCCTAGCGTCCCGGGCGCGTCGGTCTCTATGGCAACGCTCCTCACGCTGAGCGCGGGTCCCGGTAAGCGTCTTGCCAACCCACCCGCGGCCGCCTCCAGGGGCGGCCCTAGGGGAGAAGGAATTTTCCTAACTTGGGGGCTTCCACCCTCTGGTGCCACTTGGGCGGGAGGGTCGCGGGCCCTCAGTTCCCAGCTGGTCACCCCCGGCCCCTAGTCTGTATGCGTTTCTCTCAGAACCCCGTCCTCCGGTGTCTGCAGCCTCTCCTGGCTGCGGAGCTGGTTCCCAGCCCCCTGCAACCTAATTGTACCCACTTCCTACCGTGACATGAAATTATTCGAAAACAACCCCCCGCTCACCCCATTAACAACAACAGCAACAACAGCAACAAAACTGTATTATGCCCTAACTGTAGCATAAAGAGGAAACAGAAGGAAAGCAATAAGTAAGAAAGTGCATATTTCAATCTGAAAATGCTCGACACTACTACCCTTGGCAAAAGTAGAGAAGCAGCCAGTAGCCGCGCCTGGGCAGTCGCCTGAACGTGATGGCAGCAAATGCAGATTGTTAGGTCTCCGGGACCAGGGGCAGCGTAGCCAGTGAAGGGCGTGATTTTCGCAAATGGTGAACAATTCTTGGTAAACCTCCAAACCAAACAAAGTGCAATCAAGCCTTGATTTACATGTAGTTGCATTCCTTGAAAAAAAAAAAAAATCAGTGTTCATTAAAACTGCAAAAATGCTTAGCATTTCGATGTAAAATAGAGGTTGGTTGTAGCCACAGATAATTACAAACGGATTTTTCCGCACACATGAGTGTACAGGAAGACTCTACAAGATTGTAGGGCCGCAGGGTAATCCTTTATTGTGCGGGACTGTCTCTTGGATCGCAGAATCCTAGCATCTCAGGCCCCAACCACCTGTCAATCTCTTGCCTCTGAATCTCGGGGAAACAGCTTCCCCACCCCCATATATTTCCAAAATTCCCCCTAGGGGGCAGTACGTCCCCATTAAGAAAGGCTGGACTGTGAAAAGTACACAAGCCTAAGGACATTCCTGCTTTATAAAGCTGCCAAGCACCGGATATATAGTATCTTTCATTCTCAGAACAAACTTGCAAAACAGATATTGTTATTCCGTTTTAGAAATTAGGAAAGTGCGGTTTTGCCAAGTTAAGTGACTTACCCAGGAACGCAGGGCAAAAGTATATCAAAGCTGAGCTATGACCCATGTCTGACCAAGAAACTCTGTTTCATTTCAGTTGTTATCTGTGGCCACAAGGAAAGTTACTTGTCTCTGTCTTGGCAACGCTGGGAGGAAAGTTTTATCAAAGTGAGTTCTTTTACACTTTAGTCATCAATTTTCTGACTTTTTTAGTCTTTATGAGACATGTGTGATAAATTTACATTATTCTAATTCCAGGAACCTCACCCCATTGGAGACCATGGATAAGTACGATGTGATTAAGGCCATCGGGAAAGGTGCCTTCGGGAAAGCATACTTAGCTAAAGGGAAATCAGATAGCAAGCACTGTGTCATAAAAGAGATCAATTTTGAAAAGGTAAAGTTAAGAAGTTCAAATATCTGTTAATTTTCAGTGGGATATTCAGCTGGCTTTTAATCCAATATAAAAAGGAAATTTTTATTTTTTATAATTACGAATTTTAAGCCATAATTGATTTTTGTTAATTCAACCTTCTAAGTCCGTTGTTCAAACACAACCAATGATCTTGTTTTTAAAAAGAGGCTGGACACAGTGGCTCACCCCTATAATCGCAGCACTTTTGACGGCCAAAGTGGAAGGATTGTGTGAAGCCAGGAGTTCAAGATAGCCTGGGCAACATAGTAAGACCCTGTCCCTACAAAAAAAAATTTTTTTTAATGAAAATAGAAAAGAAATAAGATCACATCTCTGTGGCTCCTATGGCCCTCCTTAGGGTGCCCTGAAAGGCCCTATGAGATGCCAGCCTCCTGTGTTGCCCTGACTTTTCTCTGTGGTACACTTCCTCTCTCCTTATTCAGGTCCTCAACAAGGGGTTTTCTGCAAACGTCCTAGCTAGTGTAGCTCCCCAGCCACAATCACACCTTATCACCTTATCACACCGCCCTGGTTTCTGGTTTCTTTTTTGTTTGTTTTTCTTTCTTTTCTTTTCTTTTCTTTTTTTTTAGGGGGAATCTCGCTCTGTCACTTAGGCTAGAGTACAGTAGCATGATCTCAGCTCACTGTAGCCTCCACCTCCAGGGTTCAAGCAATTCTCCCACCTCAGCCTCCCGAGTAGCTGGACTACAGGTGCATGCCACCACGCCTGGCTAATTTTTTGTATTTTTAGTAGAGATGGAGTTTCACCATGTTGCCCAGGCTGGTCTTGAATTCCTGAACTCAAGTGATCTGCCTGCCTCAGCCTCCCAAAGTGCTGGGATTACAGGCGTGAGCCTCTGCTCCTGGCCTGGCTTATTTTCTTACTAGCATAATGCTCTGTAATTACTTTGCTCTCTTAATTATTCATTTGTTTATTGCTTGTCTT